ACCTAACCTCAGTGGGTCCTCACTGCCTATAACGTGGCCAAACGCCTTAGCCTGACAGTTCAAGGCAATCAGAATTCAACCTATCTTTCCAACACCGTGTCCTCACACACCATAGTATGAGGTACATAAATAAACACGCCACACCCACTCCTGCCTCAAAGTCCTGCTCACAGCACCTGCTTCACACTGCCCCAAGAACCACCTTCCTCTTCTCTGCTTCTCCCACTCCTAGGCCTCTTTCTGTGCACAGTTCAGTTGAAATCTGCTCTCCCATCAAGCCTTTCATAATTGTTCCAGCTCTATGACCTTACCTCCTATAAACTCACAGAGCTTCTGTATCGTTCATAGTAGTACCGTGTTTTCTCACTGATGTTGTCATGACTGTAACTTCACCATTATGTTCATATTTAATTTTTCAATTATGTATGCCTTATCTCCTCAACTATGGTGTAGCTTCTCAAGAGTAGAGGACATATCTTTCCCTTTGTTTTATTACCTAGAGTGCCTGCATTATGTTATCCTCACAGCAAGCCTTTGCAAAATGAATAGTCAATGAATGCCTGAATCTGCAGCAACTGTTAATGGTGAAAAAGGGTTTGAGTGTCAGTCAGGTATCTGGCCCCTGTCTGAGGAACTACCCTTCCCCTAATACATTCTAGCTCTGATGAGGAGCCCTTCTCTGCTGCCAGGTGTTTCCAGCTTCTTGTGAGTTGAGTGGCCATCAACCTAGATGATAGAAACAGGAATAAATGTACTTCTCTTGTAGGAGATTAAGTGCCTCTAACTCAGAGGGAACCTCTCCAGCATGCTAACTGCCCAAGCCCCATCTTATCAATCATTAAATAAGAGGGTTCATTGTCTTATGAGGAATATCTCTTGCTGTTAGAAACAGAGTTGAAATAAGATCTGGGGAGTCAGTTATTAAAAGGAAATAGCTCCCCACCTAAAGAATATTTTCAGATCCCTTTCCACAGAAAATTAAACATAAAAAGTCCTGCTTTAAAAAAAAAACAACAAACCACTAATTGGTTCTATCACTTCTTTGAAAAAAAAATTAAAAAGGCAAATGTCATCATGCCTATTTCCCTTATGAAGAATTACATAAGAAAATGACACACACATGTTTGCAAAGACCCATGCACGCTAGATTCTGATGTGATCCCAAGTTCTGTCAGCCAAGTGTACAAACACGCAAGTTATCTTCACATGCTCTGGGAGCCTGCAGACAGGCTTAATGCAGTACATTCAAACTTGAAGAATGGCAGGCGCTTTTGCAGATTTCTGAATATTCCCAATGTGCCATTTACAAAGTGGAAAGGTGGAAATGTAATTCTCAATCAAGAGAGACTTTCTGAAATACTCTTCTGTAACGCCACTGACAAGCCAGCTCCTTGGACACACACATACACGCACACTGACGATTTAGCTTTTTCCTATAAAGACTTGTATCTTTTCATAAAACCACCCCATCTCTGGATCATATTTTTCAATAATATTCTTCCATATGTAGTCAAGTACTAACAGAATAATTTAAGGCTTCCAGTTTTGCTACTTTCCTTTTGTTTAATAATCTCTAGTTTCATATTGCAAATTCTGGAGCTATTAAAAAAAATCAAAGAAAAAATGGACATGGATCAAACAAGGAAAGAATAATCGCAAAGAAAAGTACAGGCGATGCTGTTTGTATTATTTGTCCTAGGTATTAAATACTTACTACGTGCAAGGCTCCACACTAACTAGATTCACTTTCCTTATTTCTCAGAACAAGTCCATGTGGTAAGTGCTGTTATAAACCCCATTTTACAATAAGAGAAGCAAGACTGGAAGAGAAATGACTTCCCTGATGGTCACATAGGTGGTAGGTGACATAGCAGAAGGTCAGTCCTAGGTCGACCGGACTTCGAAACCCATTATCTTAGCCACTTTAATCCCTCTCACTGATATCATTAATAGAGGTTTGAGCTAGGGCATAGAGATTGCATGATGATTCTGCAGTTCCAAGAGGCAAGAATATATCCAGACTCTACAGATGGTGCCAAAGGGCCTCAGAATAAATGAGTTACCAGGGTGGAAACAATACCAGCAGGCGTGCACCTCAGTCCTGCTTGGGTTTATAGCTTTACATGCAAAAATGGCAAAAGTAGTGCCTGCCCTCTGAACCGCGTGGGGCTACTGATAAACCAAATGTGACGATACATTCTTAGCCCGACCCGCTGCTGCTACTGCTGCTGTCATCATGCACTGCAATGTGCCAGAGCAGCAGGAGTCAGGCCAAGAACTGAGTGCTAATTCAAAACTTATTTCACCATTCAAAACTTCTCAGAATTCAAAGGGTCTGCTATTGCCCACAATTTATGCATGACGAGCATGGCTTTACACCATTTACTTGTTTTTCAGTGAATGACCAAGTCTATCCAAAACATCCCAACCCTGAACTCCCTGGTAGGTCAGCCGCAGGTAGCTATCTGCAAAAGTTATTGGCCAAACTCTGGAGAGGTCAGGAAGGGAGGGAAGGGAGGAAGGGGGGAGAGAATAGTTGTTCATCCATAGAAAATAGGGGTCTGCTGCATTGTAGATACAAATATTGTACAGTGCTGTGTTCAGCAAATCCAAGGGTAGCACTGCTCCTACCATTCAGGAACATCGATCCTGGTCATCAGTTCTAACTTTAATTTTTTTTTCATGAATACTGTTGCTGCCAGTGCGTGCCACTGAAGGACTCTGCAAATTTAAATCCTCCAGCATCTCAACTTGTTGTTTTCCTGCCTGCACTCCAGCAGGTAAAACGCCCACAGACTCACAGTGCTCTGGGCTGTAGAATTCACAGGAGTCTATAATGTTCAGGTTATTTTTAAACTTTGAGGCCACTCTCCCTCCCCACGAACAGCAGGCCTGCCATTTAGAACGGTGTTTAACCCACACCCCACCTACTTTGAAACTTTAGCTTTTTATGTTAAAAGAAGCAATACCTCAAGCGTGCGCATGAACACACACACACACACACACACACACACAACACGCATCTAAAAACTAAAGACAGTCACTAGCTCACTGGGAGTGAAAGACCCAGCTCACAGATTGATGTTGAGATTGTAGAGACGACGGGTATGAAAATGCTTTGTAAACTCAGTTGCCTGCCACTATACGTGGTATTACTATTCTATTTACAGGTGCAGATACCAGGCATTATAGGTGATGTCAAAGACAGCTTCCTTTTTTAAAAAATAAATTTAATTGTGTACATTTGAGATGTACAACAGGATGTTATGGGATACATATAGACAGTAAAATGGTTACTACAGTGAAGCAGATTACCATCCATTATCTCACATAGTTTTTGTGTGACAAGATCAGCTGATATCTACTTATTTAACACAAGTCCCTAACACAGTATAATTTTATTAACTTTATTGCACATGCCCCACATTAGATCACTAGACTCATTCATCCTGCATACCCGCTACTTTGTATCCTTTGATCTACATCTCCCCACTTCCTCCTCCAGTTCCCCACACCCACTGGAGCTAACCACTGTTTCATTCTCTATTTTATTCTACATATGTGAGATCATGCAATGTTTTTCTTTGTGTGTCTATTTCACTTAGGATAATATCCTCCAAGTCCATCCATGTTGGGGCAAATGGCAGGATCTACTTCTTTTTTAAGGCAGAATAACAATCCAGAGAGAGAGAGAGAGAGAGAGAGAGAGAGAGAGAGAGAGAGAGAGGGAGAGAGTGTGTGTGTGTGTGTGTGTGTGTGTGTGTGTGTGTGTGTCTACATATACCACATTTTCTTCATCCATTCATCCATTGACGAACATTTAGTTTTTTCCATATCCTAGTTATTGTAAATAGTGCTGCAATGAATGTGAGAGTGCAGATATCTTTATCAAGTGGTGATATCAGAAAAGAAATTACTTTCACTGAGGGTGAAAGACCCAGTTTACAGAATGATGCTGAAATTGTTGAGATGATGTGTATGAAAATGCTTTGTAAACACCGAGTGTCACACCACGGTGGGTGGTGCTATTGTTATGTTTTCAGGGACAGACACCAGCCATTATAGATGATGTCAAAAAACAACTTGTAGGCCAGGCACGGTGGCTCACACCTGTAATTCCAGCACATTGGGAGGCCAAGGCGGTGGATCACCTGAGGCCAGGAGTTCGAGACCAGCCTGACCAAAATGGTGAAACCCTGTCTCTACTAAAAATACAAAAATTAGCCAGACATGGTGGCACATGCCTGTAATCCCAACTACTCAGGAGGCTAAGGCAGAAGAATTGCTTAAAATCGGGAGGTAGAGGTTGCAGTGAGCCAAGATCCCACCACTGGACTCCAGCCTGAGTGACAGAGTGAGACTCTTGTCTTAAAAAAAAAAACCACCTGTTATTTCCAAAAGGGAATTATATCACTACAATCAAAGCGTTCAAGGCCCTTTATTTGCCCAAAGAGCCACACAGAAGTTGGCCAAGAGGTGTTAGGTTGTAATTTTCTTCAAATTAATTACATTTTTTAATTGAAAAACATTGGGAGAAAAGGGAAAGAAATTCTGAAAACAACCAAAAGAGTATTAAGTTAAAAAAAATCAAAGAAACTCTTCAAAGCAGCAACAACCACCAGCATCTGTGCAAGGCTGAAGCATTATATGCCTTGTTGATATGCACAAGAATCCTACAAAGTCGGTATGGTTAGCTTCAGCCATTTCTCAAGGCGAGTAAAGATCAGAGAAACTACATTTCTACACTAAGATCACACACGGCTACACTTGGAGCCCGGACCTGCCTAATACCAGAGGCCACATCTTACTACTGTCCTTTGCTATGGTTTGAATGTTTGCATCGCCTTCAAAATTCACATTAAAACTTAATCCCCAGTGCAGAAGTATTAACAGCTAAGTTCTTTAGGACATGATTAAGCCATCAGGGCTAATCTCATGGATGGGATTAATGTTTTGTGAAAGGGCTGGAGAGAAGTAGCTAGGCCCCTTTTATCCATCAGCTTTCTGCCATGTGAGGACACTGCCATCAGCGACTCTGGAGGAAGCAGCATTCCAGGAAGCAAAGACCACATCCTCGACAAACACCACTGACCCTGCCAGTGCTTTGATCTTTGACTGCCCAGCCTCCGTAACTGTGAGAAATAAATCTGTGCTGTTTATAAATTACCCGGTCTAGAGCATTTTGTTACAGGAGCAAAAATAGACTAAGACAACCTTACTGCAAGAGACAAGCTGAAGGAGAAATTGTAGCCTGAAACTTAAGACTAAATGAGGAGAGTTTCAAGGGCCCAGAGGAGAAGACTAGGGGGTCACTCCGGACTTGATAAGAGCCAAGCAGTAGGCACAAAGCCTCCTCCAACCTTTACCTGGGAACCGTAGGCTTTGCGTGAACTACAGATCCCCGTGTAACCACTTGGCCATCAAGGCTATGGGGAACAGGATGGCACAGGCAAAATCAATCATAGAAGGTCCCCAAATGTCCTCCCCTTGGTGGTATACCTCTCAGGGGAAAAGGCATTGTTGCCACAGTGCCCTAGGAACCTATTAGAAAATAAATCAAGGCCAGATGTGGCAGCTGACGCCTGTAATCCCAGCACTTTGGGGAGCCAAGATGGGAGGATCACTTGAAGCCAGGAGTTTGAGATCAGCCTGGGCCACATAGTGAGCATCTGTCTCTACAAAAAATAAAAATAATTAGCCAAATGTTTTGGCACATGTCTGTATCCCAGCTACTCAGGAGGCTGAGATGGGAGGAATGCTTGAAGCCAGGAGTTCAAGGCTGCAGTGAGCTGTGATCACACCACTGCACTGCAGCCTGGGTGATAGAGAGCCCAACTCTAAAAAAAAAAAAAAAATGTTTTTAGAGACTTTTGTCTCAAAAAAAAAAAAAAAATCAAGCAGCTTGCTCACGCTCACTTGTGCGTTCTCGTGCATGCTCTCTCTGTCTCTCTCTTGCTCTCTCTCTCTCTCTGTCTGCAAATCTTTTAAACAAAACTCTTAACGTGCAGGAGGGATGACTCACTGGAGAGCCTCCTCCACTCCCCCTCCCTCCTCACCCTCTGGCTGAAGCACTGAGAAGTGATAACATGATAAGGTGGCTCAACACTTTTACAGCTAAATATGTTTCAGGGAATTTTTTCACCCCAGAGTCTGTTTCCCTGGAGGCTACTAGGGTGTGCATGCATTCTTATGCATCGGGGCTCAGCATGAACTGGCTTTCCTCTTCCTGCCTCCCTCAGGAGCATTTCCAAACTTCTCCTCCTTCCTCCCTAACTGCCTCTTCACCTTTCCTTTTCCTGCCTCCTAAACGGGAACACTCCTCAGATCCTGGTTTCTACCCTCTTCACCATGTATGCACTCTCTTGGTGATTTCATCCATATGGATGGCTTCAACTGAGGCTAATATCCGGAAGACTCCCAAACCTTTATCTTTGGCTCTGGTTTTTTTTCTTTTTTTTTTTTCTTTTCTTTTTTTAAAGTCTGGTACCACATTCACCATGGCTTAAATGGGCTCCTCCACCTGGGTGGCCTGACAATGCCATGAACCAGCCAGTTTAAAAGCAAACTCACCCTCTTTCCCTAGGATCCAGCTCCCCGCTAGGTGTCTAATGCTGTTGGCAGCACTGCAGCCTCCTCCTAACTCAGGCACAAAACTTTGGATGCATCCTTGACTCCAACTCCTACTACAGCCATTCCCCAAGCCCCCCACCTTTTCTCTCTATGCCACTGTCACAGTCTTCCTGTCCTTTCCATTTGCACCACCCCCCATCAAGCCAGTACTACCTTCTATTCAGGAGATGGGCAGAGTCTCCTCCTCCACCTTCCTCTTCCAGGTTCTACCACAAAAATCCAGTGCACAGCTCAACTCTGACCCTATCTCACCTTTCAGTGCAATGAAATTGTACAGGGTTTGTACAGGGTTGTATTCCCAGTGCCTAGAATAGTGTCCGGTAAAAAAATAATAATAAATAATTTTTTTTTTTAGTTGAATGCACAAATGAGTTTTCTAGTGCCTATAAACTATTACTATCTAATCATAAGATCTTATCATCTTAGGGTTGGAAGAAAACTTACATGTCATCCAGTCCAAGTACTTATTACCCACCATGATGCTCCTAAGCAGTGTCTCCTCCTATGAAGCAGGACTGTTCACCCTTCCTTAGAACACCTTGGAATTATCGTCCCACATATCATTTCTCGTTTTCTTTCTCCCTTCCTTACCCTTTCTTCCATTGCCACCTGTCAAAAAATTATTTAGACTTAAAAGCCCAGTCCATATGCTACCTCCCTTATGAAGCCATTTGTGGCCATATGGAAAAAGTGATCTCTCTCTCCTCTGAGTGCTGCTGACGCTTTATGTTGCCCTGCCTAAGATACTGTGGTGTATACATCCTGGCCCCCCACTATATTGCAAGGGGCTTGGCTCATTTATCTTTGCATTCTCCGTAGTAACTAATGCACTGCCTTATGTCTAGTGGACTCTGAATACATGTTTCTTGAATGAATGAATAAATGCACAAATAAATGGTAACTATGAACAAAGGCAAGTGGACACAAGCAGGACATGGACTCCTTAGGATCTGCACCATGTTGGGAAGTTGCTGTGGGAGAAGCTACAAGTGATAAAACTGTTCTGAAGACAATCAGCTCCAGGAAGCCCATCCTCAACCCTCTCCTCACAGGTACTGGTACGTGTTTGGTACAACTCGCCAACCTAACCTGACAAGATGAATGACCCAGTGCATGGGGGCAGACGCAGTGGTCACCGTGAGCGTGCAAAGCTCACAACATCGCAAGTACAATATTTTGTTCTCTGGTAGAAAATGGGGAAATGTTTTCAACTCATTTCACTTCCTTCATGCATCTAGAGCTGTGATGTGGGCTGAAGTGGTTGGTGTTGGACAGATGGGTAATAACCTAATCTAGCCACACACATCAACCTCCTCCTCTAACCCCTCCATGTTACAGATAAGACACGTAGAGAAGGGTGTCTTAACTCAGCATGATTGGCATTTCTGAGTCAGATAATTCTTTGTCATAGCAGGGCTGTCCTTGCATTGTAGGATGTTCAGCAGCATCCCTGGCCTGTAACCACTAGACACCAGACACACTTCCCCCACTGAGCTGTGACAATCAAAAATGTTTCCAAACATTGCTAAATGACCCTTGGGGCCCAAAGCACCTCCCAGTTGAGACTACTGGTGTAGAATAAATAAATACATGGCTCTAGGTCATAGGACTCATCAACATCATGACCAGAATGCAGGAACCCCAGTGGAATGCATTTGCCTCGCTACGTACACTTTCATTTTCTCCCTCACATCTAGTAAGTCACAGCCTTTAAGAGTTGGGGTGAACTCAGAGCTGCACCTCTGGTTTTCTGATGGTCTCACAGGCGTGCACAGGGCTCCACGCCTTAAGATAAAAGAAACTAAAGGGACAGCAGAGTCTGAAGAGACAACCCAAGCTGAAAAGAAAAAGTGGCCTCAGCCTGTCATCATCAGTTTAAGGTTTATCAACTAAAGCTGAAATAAATAGGATTTCTCCTGACACTTTGGATACTAAGAAATGTGGTCACAAGCCCTGCAAAACAGTGTGTCCCCCTCAGTCCGCTATCTCTGCAGCGAAAACTCCTACACCCGTGCTTCCAACTCAACCCTGTGTACCCTCACCCCCTGCTTTTCCTTGTTTCCTTTCCCTTCTTATTTTTAAAGCTACAGGAAAACTTGAATCCTTCAGCTTCTCTGGTCACCAACACCCTTAGAAAGCTTTTCTTCTAGAATTTGTCTTCACTAGAATTTGAGAACTATCTCCCGGCTTTCTGAGTCTGATCTCTCATTTCCTAAAAAGGCTCGATCACTTCAGGCAAGATATTTTCGGGAGCTACTGATAAGGACTTACCAATGATCACTTTTCCAGGTGAACTGCCATTAGCTAAGCACTCATGTACCATCTGAGGGGGCAGAAAGTAATTGCCCATTAACGTACTGCTGTTTCTCACCCACTTCCTTCCTCAAATCTTCCCCTACGCCCTGTCCGGCACTCTTACTAACCTCTCCATTAGGAACATCTAGTTTTAAGTCTTGGAGGACTGTGTATATTCCCCAGGGACTGTTTTATGCTTTCCTATTTTATTCTCTTTGTAAAAGTCATTCAAGGATTCAGTACTAGAAAGATGGCAGAATAAGAAAATCTCTTGCTACACATTTCTAGAAAAACCAAAGTACAGAAATATATTTTCAAATATATTTGAAAAGATATATTGCTGAACTTGAAAGTTATAAAAGGAAATCCCTAGGAGGAATTGAAAAACAAAGAGGAAGCATGTGAATCGAAGCTGCAGCTGTCCCATAAGCAGTAACTAGTTCTGGTAACAAAGATGATTTAATGGGTGGAGTTTTTTGTGCGTTTTGTTTTGTTTTGTTATGAGACAGAGTCTCCGTCACCCAGGCTGGAGTACAGTGGCCTCATCTCAGCTCACTGCAACGTCTGCCTCCCAGGCTCATGCAATTCTCATGTCTTAGCCTCCCTAGTAGCTGGGACCACAGGCACACGCCACCACACCAGGCTTAAGTTTTGTTTTGTTTTGTTTGTATTTTTAGTGGAAATTTGGTTTTGCATGTTTTGTATTTTTAGTAGAAATTTGGTTTTGCCAGGTTGGTCACAAACTCCTGTCTTCAAGTGATCCACCAGCTCTGGCCTCTCAAAGTGCTGGGATTACAGGCGTGAAACCACCACACTCAGCCAAATGAGTAAGTTTTAATGTCCACTCCAGAGCAAGTGATAAGGTCTTAAGACCTTTATGTGGACAGAAGTTGGAACTAAGACTCTGCACTAAGCTATGACACTTAAAGAACTGTACCTTCAGTTAAATAAACTGCATGAAAATCAACTCTACAGCAAAAGTAGATAACACAGAAGCTTCTGTCTCTGAATGAATGAGAAAAAGCAAAACCCTGAGAAATCAAAACCCAAGATTGTATGTGACATGGATTTATGGGCTGAATTTACACTACATGTTCAGTGGGGCTCAGGAACCCTTAGGCCAAGAAAACAATTCCCCTGGGTCAAGTAAGAAAACCAAACAAAACTACTCTAAGAGGCTACTCTCACAATCCATAGTACACTGCATTTATATTGGAAAAGCAAGCACTACTAAACATGAC